TACCTGTCTCTTATACACATCTAGATGTGTATAAGAGACATTTATTTATTTATTTATTTATTCAAATCAAAAATAGGCCTATATATTTATATAAATCAAAAGGAAAAATACTGAAAAACAACAATGGTGGGAAACAATGGCTCGGTCTGGGTAAAGATACAAATTTGATAAGCAAAAAGCAAACGTAAGTAAACAGACAGAAATAAAACCAGAGCTTTCGGACAACACTAGTCCTTCCTCAGTGGTGAATATAATATTATATAACACAAGGTTCTTACCAGCATTAAAGTTTTGAGTGGCGGTCGGCCACGACCCAACACCCCACCCCAGGGGGCGTGGTCGCCGACATCAAAACCTTCCCCACCCCGGCTGACAAAATCAGGTTAATCAACAACTCCCTACTCTGGTAGTCGTGCAACTAAAGTATTTTGTTAGCCTACGTTTTTTTCAACTATCAATTGCAAAAATAGTGGTGGTCGGCAGCCTAAAAAGACTGGTCGGAAATGTTGAGTGCTCTGGACGGGTCCGACCACCGCCGACCAGCGTGATGGTGAGAACCCTGTAACATATATATGTACCGGTATATATAGAGGCACTATGTATTGCTACCTCACTCTTACCTTCTGTTTTGCTTGATACCAATGTTTACTATCTTATTGCTAGTGACTATCCTCTTGTGTCTGTAGTACCTACTGAATCTAACACACTAGCATTTGTATAGAGAGTGCTACTGGGCGTGGAACTCGCATTCAATAAGGTAGGCGCACCCATTCGCGTGTGTCAGTGACATTGGAAGGCCCAATACAGGCATAGGAAGTATTGATTATACTTACTCATTGTTCAGCTAAATCTATATACTATTGTTTATTTTGTATAAGTCAGGCATTAGGAATACTGGTGCAAAAATCTTTATCATAATTTCTCCGTGACTGATTTGGGGCGAGGAATAAACTCAAGTTGGAAGAATCATAACTCGTTAACAATCAAGAATGATAAGATATAAAAGAGATGTGATGCCCAACCGGGTGATGCCACCAATATGAAAATTGCTAGCAACCTTTCTGCTTATATTCAATTTTATATCAATACACACTTATAACACTCGAATGGATGTAGAGCAATGGAGCTCAATACATATTTTACAATAAATTAGCATAGGCTTATGTTCGCTTAAATCATGAACTGAATTAAGCTGGAAATAATATGTAGGTTTGCTAGTTAAAGTTGATGTACTACAGTTTTATTAAACCTTTAAGCCACAAGGCCAATATAAACGACAGTCCATTACCACAATGAGTAAATTCACATGCCCTAGGCCAGGCCTATATCAGTTGTGTTTGCATTTATACCTACATGTAATCACGTCATTTTTTTGGTAGCGGTACAACTAAAGTAATTATGTTAACGAGAATTTAATGTGCGAATCAATTAGCTTAACGATCGCCCTAGGGGCCGGTCTGTTACATGGTACAAAGGAGCCTGACTTCGTTGGATCTCCAGTCTGATGTAATCGGCAATTCCTATTCCACAGCAACACAAAACATATTGAGCGAGCCTACTACAGGTCTTCCTCTAATTGAAGACTCCTCCAGTTAAAGGCCATTTTTCTGTGATCCCAAATTCACGAGTATCATTTATTATTCTAATAAGAAACCAAAGCTACTACCGTCCATGGAACCCCGGTCCCAAAAGTGGTCTTTAATTGGAGGGAGACATGTAGGCCTATGCACATTGGGCTTGTCACATTACACACACAAAAGACACAAACAAAATAAATCATTGTTGCAAGATACGTATGACATTTACTGAACAATTTTTCTTACATAATGCAAAAGCATCTAAGAAATAGTGCGCTATTTTAATTTTGACTAGTGGCTCAATTCATTTTAATAGTTTTGCTGCTTTTGCGGAAGGAAACTATTGAGGTGGCTTATAAACAAGGTGATCAGGTGTGTATTTGATAGTTCTTAAAAGTCATGTTTTCTGATTGTTACTGTATCACTGTAACCAAGCTAAAACTCTGATATACATAGGCCTAGATAAAACAAAAAGTATTAAGAATAATATCGGGAACTACAAAGCATCGAGTTGAATAGCTTGGTAAATTAAGATGCTTGCTTTCCAATCCCAGGTCCCTGGCTTCAATTTTTGTCACAGTAATATGATTTTTTACGACCAAAACAACTCCACTCCCTAAGCCCTATAATGTGACTTAGTCTTCAGTAGATGTAGAGCTTCGCTTGTGTGATGTTTTGACGGGATTACCAATTCGAAGAGTGATTACAGTGCCGGATCAGGGATTTACCAATGGGGGTGGATAATGGGAGGTGAGAAGAACCAGCAGGGGTGAGGTGGTTTTCGGAGGGGCGTCCCCTCCCTTTGGAGATATTTGTGGAATTAGTAGACGGACTAGACGTTCTTAGATGGCATTTAAAAAAGTTAAGCTTAAAATATTAAGTGTATGTTTTGCCAGAGTAGGCTACTACACGTAATGTGTACAGCACGCGAAGCACACACACAAACACACACACACATACACACACACACAAGACGAGTGTCCATTTTTTCTTTCACGGTAAACCTAGGGGGGTGGCTAGCTATCCTATTCACCCTACCCCACCAACCCCACTCCCAATCCGCCACTAGATTAAGTTCACTGTTTGGCATTATCATTGGCTCTTGTGCCTAATGCTTTGTAAAAATAAAAAGAGTGAGGAGTATATGATTCAAATAATATCGTCAACTGTAAAACATCATGGAATAAATCTACATCAACTTTGTCAAACTGTTCTTTTTGATATCATGGTGCATTTTAGCTACTTGCACAAGTCGCTTTCTTTCTCCATAGCTAAGTTTCTTCACTAATCTGCCCAGGAATGATTTTCGTTTTTTTAACAAGGTGTAAGGTGCGTCGAATTCTTTTACTTCTCCTGCATCAAGAACCTTTGTAAATGACGAAAACATTATTATTATTATCATTTTATCATATGACAATTTTGTTTGAGTCCATTTTCCTTTCTATTTTCATTATGTTTTTTTCATTATATTCTTTATTTAATACGCTTTTTCTTTTATTAAAGAACAATTCACTACGGAAATAATACGGTAATAAAAATCATCATCATCATCATCATCATCACCATCACCATCACCATCACCATCACCATCACCA